CGTTGTTCGTGTTACTGTTAGATTCCCTATGTTACTACGGTTAGCAAGTTAGAGCACTCTGTATCGAGAAGCGGGAAAAGGTGCATGCAGTAAGTTGTGTATGAGTGCGTGTGTCATGCATATATGGGAGAGAGGTCATTGTAGTGTGTGAGTGCGTGCGTATATGTACATGTACTTGTATATGGAATCTTGAACCTAGCAATATAGTAGGAGTAACCATGAGATCTCCCAGCGTGGATACTGTGATTTTTTTAAACACCCTTTTTCATGACTGTCTTCAAAACCGTTTCTCGGAGAACGAAGCATTGTGACAACTGGCCAGCACAAAGAATCAAGAGATGAACATTTTAAATGTCAATAAAAAACAGGATCCACACCGTGTTTTTCCACCCTGGTGGGTGGTGTTCTTGTTCATGGTGATAGAACTGTGTCACTAACCTCCTCTGCAACACTGTGTGTGGTAGCCAGTGTTTTACCTCAGGTATGTGTGTGTGTGCGTTCGCGCGCGCGCGCGTGTGTGTGTGTGTGTGCGTGTGTATGTGTGTTTGTGTGTGTGTGTGTGTTGTTGTTGGCCTCTAAACCAGTCATATCCCAATGTCTCCCTATGACTCTGTCCTGTCCGTCTTTATCCAATGTACATGCACTAGTGACACACAATTGAATGCAGAACACAAGCGGGGCTGGACTACACGTCCACAAACCGTTTATCTGAGAATGCAGCAGTGAAGTCATCATATCAATTGTACTGTGATTATGCTATTGAAACATTTGATCTGAGCATTTACATTCCTCGGAAAGGCATGCAACATGCTTTAGGACATACAGAATTGCCTAATGGCTTAGGAGATTGGCATCTTCAACCAATGCAGTGCCTCGAGTAAACTCTCTTCCTGTTTGATATCCATTTCGGGCACGTATGTATGTATCGTTAGTTGGATAGATTCTACTGTGACAGTCTGGCTTGCCGGATAGACTTGGATATCAGATAACCGCCTGGCTTTCTGGGTATGAAGTTGATTGAGCTTGCTTGAGGTGGAGAGCACATGTACGTTACGAACTAGTTCCATCAGCTGAAGATGGCTCAGCCAACGTAGCACAGAGACACGCTAATGACAACTACTCGCATCATCTTGTGTATTCTTCGCGCAAAGTATATACCGATAGATTGATGTTTATCTAGCGCTGCTGACATTATGCAGAGGAACCATGGGGGGGGGGGGGATCAAGCCTCTGATACTGAGACCTCTGGTCGGCGGAGCTCAATGGGACGCACCACCACACTCCATCATTCACCCCAGTGTCTGGAGATATGTGGATTTTGTAGAAAAAAAATACTATAAGTAGGTTCATGGACCAGCCATGTCTCTAGAAAGTAACCTGACTCTTTTTTGCATGGGGTGGGATTTGCCCTGCCTTGCGCTTCCTCCCTTCAGCTGTCTCGAAACGGATACGTAATACAGTGCGGTTACTGTAGCAGTGTAGGTGAAACGGTTCCCTTCTCACTGGATGTCTCCCATGCAGTGGTGGATGTGGATAGTATGTGCAATGGTGCACTGGTGTTCTAGAGTGTGGCCGGGTGGTGGTTGCCAGATCATGTGACCTGCTTGTGCACTGTCCCTGGGAGCAGCATATCTACATTCATTATACTGGATGTGTGTTGGTGGATCGATTGAATCATGCAATGTCTGGTCTAAACAAGTTTAAAAAAGTAAATTATCATGTCTGTTCCCGAAGGGAACTCACGACGGCTGCTAACACCCGGTAAACCCTAGCGACAGATGCAGCGCCTAACGGTGGCGCTGCATATCTGGTCTACATCTGGGCCAAATTGTGTTCTTCTGTCTTCCCTCAGTATGTAGGAACTGCATCGATGGGCATGGCATGTGCACTGGTCATGTGCGCCCATCATATCATACACAACGTGTATGAAAGACCAGTATAATGGCCGGACAAATCGAAAACTGCTTCCGCCAGTCCGGAGCCCATGATCATGTGGTCTTCAACACGATCTGTTGGAACTAAAGTAGGAAGGACTGTAAAACTGTAAAATTTTCGGTGCAACTGTATGGGCGATTTCGGTAGAGAGACCAGACACCTAAATTTAAATTACACCTAAAAGGCACTAGAGTATGCTAAATTACACCTGAAACCTGGCAGGTCACTGGCACCGAAATGTTAATGCACCTAAAATTGCATGTTTTACAGTACCCGGCCTGAAACTTGTATGTCTAGCTTTCAGGGATCCACAACCCCACAAGGAGATCATTTGTGTTCTCAAATTTCCATTTGAGCCTTTGGGTTTCTGCGCACACACGCATACACAAAGGCCAATCCGTATGGGGACATGCATCCATGTTCCATGTGTTTGGCCCCAGCAGTTCGGTTCCTGTCTGCTGCTGGATCTCCTTACTCAGGTGGTGGTGTGCAAGATTTCCCAGGCCTCCTGGCAACAGTGTCCTCATTAAATTCTATTGGCACAGGGGATGCCAGCAGCAATCAG